GGGGGCCCGCGCGGCGGGGAGGCGGTCGCTGCCACGCGTACGGGTGGAGCGAGGCGGAGCTGCTCGCGAGGAAGCGCCTGGCCCCGTGCTGCCACCCCGGTTGCTCGGCTCTGTTTGTTGCTGGCTTTTCTTCACGATTTTCCATTTACAGGAAAAAAAATTTACAGGATGGCACTGGATCGGTTCCAGGACAGAGCCCTGGGGGACCCCGCTCATCTCTGGCCAACATCCCGATAGTTCCGCACCGTTGCCCTGTTTGCAAGCAATTGCCTCCTGCTGCCGCGTTCTGTTTAGCCCTTGGGAAAGATGTTGGTGCGCGTCCCCTTCTTTTTCCAAAGGGTGTGCACATTACCCTGTCTGAGCATGAAGCCCACTGAATGGAATGGCTTTTACTATTAAGTAGACATCCACGGGATTGGATTGCTGTTAAATGCAGCCAACCAAAACTGGTGGTTAGTGGCTTGCACGATGGCCAACCAGAGCCTCTGAAACCCCTGGGAGCAAGCAGGGCTAGCTGGGTGATGGTTTTCTGGCAAGGGGTCTTCATGAGCACCAGGCCAAGAGCCAGTGTGGTGTAGAAGTTAAAAGTGTGGACCTGGGACTCAGGTGTCTAGTCCCTGCTCAGCCATGGAGGCAGTTGGATGACTTTGGGCCAGTCACAGCGTCTCAGCCCAACCTGCCTTGCAGGGTAATTGCCGTGACTGAGAACAGGAGGAAGAGGTAAGGCACTTTGAGTTCATTGGAAAAAAGTGGGATATTGATCCATTGAATAAATAATAATTTGCTTTGGCGAATGGGGTGGCCTATAAGTGTGCTAAATAAATAAATAAATAAATAAATAAATAAAGAGGTGCCCTTATTAATTAGCTTCCTGGCAGCTGCTTTTAAGTGACAGACTACCTCTGAACATGGGGGTTCTTCATGACTGTTAGGATGACGCTGTAGTGCATCCATGTTCTGAGGAGCTCCTGGGGGTGCATGCCATTTGGTGTGATCGAAGCTCTGACGCTTTGGTCCGTGGGTATCCAGAAACTGCTTTGCATTTCAGGGGAAACACCTTTGTTCCCATCATGGCCCAGTGAAGCAGTGGCCAAACAGGAGTCTTTATTCACGCTTGGTGACCTTTCAGACAGCCTTGCCTTCCCTTTTCAAAACAGGTAGCGGCACATCATGTGGAGGATTTGCAGATGACTGACATGGATTACATCCAGGGCTGACCTTGGCATGTGCATCATCGAATCAAGGGCTGTGCACTTTGGGGAGCTGCAGTGAGAGTGAACACAAGTTACCTCAGCTGCCCACACCTGCAGCCCAGCTCTCCAATCTGGCGCCTTCCAGATGTGTTGGACGGCAACCCCCTTAACTCCTACCTAATATAGCCAATGAAGTGAGGTGACAAAGCTGAGCAGGGCTGCCAAGGACAGGCCGTTTTGGAGCTCTTGGGTCACCCTAAGTTGGAGACAACTTGATGGCCCATAAAAATGGCCAATGGCTGAAACTTTGCATGCCACACAACTGGAAGGCCCCAGGTTGGGGGAAGTTGCTCTAAGTCAGGGGTAAGCAAAAAGCCACTCCAAATGTTTTCCGTTTCAACTCTCAGCAGGGCCAGTGGCTGGCCAAAAACCATCCACTTCTGCATGGTTTCTTATGACCAGGTAGGGTGCATAACATGTTGTACCTCTGGTTTTCAAAAGCCATACTCTATCCGTGGTGTGAACAAGGTGATGACTCTCTAAAGAGAGCAGCAATGCTCAACTATTAGGGGCAATACTCTTAGATACACGCTGCAAAACGAGTAGAGCTAATTAGCTCTTTTTCCATACTTAGTAATGCTTTATATAGTTGCAGCCCTGCAGGAGGCCTGGTGGCATGAAAAGCAGGTCTTCCAGTGACCATTCTCTTCCCAACGGCAGTCTCAGAATTTCAAGGCTTTTAATTAAATTTGGGCAGGAGGATAAGAATGTGGAATTTCAAGCCTTTACACTGCACATCACTGACTTGGTTTTCTCTAGGGCTGAAAGTTAGCATTCTGGCATCTTCACACTGATTTGAAATTATGGGCGTTGTAGGCCAACACATCTGAGGGCACCAGGTTGGGGAGGGCTGCTCTAGAATGCTTGCAGCGTTTCCCATACAGAAATACTTTAAAAGCCATCCAGTAAGGAAGGTCGGCGTTCCTCACTTTGTCCTGCAGACAGACTGAGGATGACCTCGAGAGCTAATGGCTTAGATACGGCCATCTCATAAGCTGAACTGTAGATTACCTGGATCACAGCTGTAAACAGAAATTAGATGAGAGCAATCCCTCATTGTACAGAGAATTTTGGGAAGGGTGAGAAACGATGCAAGTCTCAGAAAACCAGAGACTCAGGAAAAGATGGACAATCCTACTCGATAGTGGCAGGCTGAGAATAAGTACAAAAGCGGGGGAAGTCTTTGCAGCTGGATTGCGGAACTGGCACCAGCTGACGGGTTCAAGACTGACTTTGGGTTTCTGCCCCCAGTCTGCTTCATGTGGAGACTGGCTGTGCCCTCGCAGTCGCTGTCAGGAAAACGAAACCAGGATGGCAGAGGGCTTTGATCACTGCTGAACAAACCAATGAAATGATGGGTCGTTTGTTATTACAAATCTTGCCAAAGGTGAATTGCCTGCTGCAGCGTTTGATAGTGCAGTATTCGCAACTGCAGCACTGTTAAAATCTGCATTTGGCCCAGAACGGCGAGCGAGGCCGGGCTGTCTTGGATAGGACATAGGACATTTCAGGGGCTTTCCTTCTTAGGGTCACCATGGAGACAGGCTGATGGCAGGTGGCAACAATGGGATTGCCCCCCCCCCCAAGCTTTTACAGCTTCACAGGCTCCTCTGCACAGACTATTAGGAATAGTTACTGAGGTTGATCAGTTTATAAATGCCAATCAATTTAAAACACAATGTGTCTTTATAGTTATTGGTATTCAGGGTCTAAAGCAGGAATGCCACCACAATGGCCTGGATTGTTGTTTTAGCAACTTTATCTGAAGTCTGGGTGGATCTCTTGTTTCTTGTTTACTGGATACCACAATGAGTTTGTCTAAATCAGCGGAAAGGAAAGGCGGAGGTGTATCGTACCACTGCTAATGCTTCCTTGAATCATGCTTTGGTGATAACCAGTAGTGATCTCTTTTTGGGAGCAGATTATAACGTGGAATAATTTTCGACTGGAACACTCTAATATTTTCTGATGCACACATTATGTTTTGTTTTGTGGAAATTAAAACATGATCAACACAAGTGGATTTTTGCACACTTGTGATCAGTAAAGGCTGAAACCAGTGGGAAAGACAGTAGCTCATCTCCTGTGACATGGTGGATCAAAGGCCTAGAAGCACTTTGAGTATTTAAGTAGATGACATGGATATTCTAATCTTGGACCAACACATAACATACTGTACTCTGCCTTTGTTGAAACTGAAAAATACTGTAACTGTTGAAATCGAAAAGTAATTGATGCTTTTAAATGTGTGCAGTTATACAGAAATATTGCTAGATTCTGTTAATTATTTTAAACATCTTTAAGTTTATATACTGCACCCCCATGGGACCCCCTGGGCAGTCTTGTTTAGTAAAAAGCCAAACA